TAAGTGGGAGGTAAATGATGAGAACACATGGACACATAGAGGGGAGCAACACACATTCGGGCCTCCCAGAGAGTAGAGGGTGAAAGGGGGAAAGGAATAGGAAAAATAACTAATTAGTACTAGGCTTGATACCTGGGTGACAAAATAATCTTATAACAAAGCCCCGTGACACAAGTTCACCTGTGTAACACACCTGCACATGTATGCCTGAACTTAAAAGGTAAACACACACACACACACATACACACACACACACACACACACACGGCATAGCTGGATGTAAGGGCTCAGCTTGCTTTCTGCCCTCTTCTCTAAATGTGTTTGTGATCATTCTCTTCTCTGAACTTGTACTAATATCTATCTTTTCCTATTTATTATTTATTTTGCCATGTTTAATGCAAAGATTCTCAATTATAGGGAGAAATATAAATTAGAAATGTCTAAAATCGTAAAAAAAAGTGTCTGAGTTTAGCACAAACTGGCATTTCTACAGACATTCTGCAAACGTTCCCTCTGCCTCCGGTGGGAGGAAGGAACCCACAGCTGGCTCTGAAGGGAATGTAAATATGCACATTAGACACAATCACCTTATTCAAATTTTATGCTATCATTTTACAACAAGCAGGAAGAATAACCTTGGCTGATGAGATTCTGAAACACATTTTGAATTGGGAGTCTTGGTTAGTCATACAACAATTTGTCAGAATAGGAATTGTCCTGTTATTTCACATATCCCTACTTTGCTTGTTTGAAAGAAAAGCACGAAGTCATCTTATATCCTCCGTTTACCTCTTTTTCCATTAAAAAGTCAGTATTAGGTTAATTTTGTCATTTTCGTTCCATTAATTTTTTTCCCATTGACTTTCATTCAGTTCATGTTGTCATTTTTGGTAATTCTCAGGCTATTCACATGACATGAACCTAGTTAATATCATGAGAACTATGGAACTATTCCTAATTGAACTCCCTCACATCAATATCCTCCCTACCCATCTTCCTATCAATGCACCAATATTTCCAAAATGGAAACAGAAAATATTACTCTTGTGTGCTCAGAGCCTTTAACAACATCTCACTGCCTGCACAGCAAAGCTAAGAACTGTATTTCACCCAGTGATTTCTACGGTTTGACTCCAAGCATTTTATTTTCTAAGCATACCTTCAGCTTCAGCACTCACCATTTTGAATCTTTTTTTTTTTGTTTGCTTGTTTTTTTGTTTGTTTGTTTGTTTTGAGACGGAGTCTTGCTCTGTCGCCCAGGCTGGAGTGCAGTGGCCAGATCTCAGCTCACTGCAAGCTCCGCCTCCCGGGTTCA